GCTGTAGCCTGAGAGAAACTGAGGTTCTATAGTTGTTTTATGATGAATATTGTGGCAGTGTTCAGTGTTTATTGGACTGCATGAGGTACCTCTATGCACCTTGCTCTCTTGCATGATAGTACTTTCTCATATGGTTTATATGTTTGCCATCATATTAATCCTTTTTGTATTTTAGATTTTTCTCTTTAGTATCACATACCATTCAGACATTTAGACAGTATTTGTGACTATATTTTGTTGTAATTTGATAAATAAAACGCACTTCAAACTTCTCTGAGAAAATATCTAAAATATTTTTATTTCACAGATAAAAAATCTCAATAACATTATACAATGTTTGAACTTAGATTTAGTCAGTGACTTTTAGTATTAACACTTAAAGCAAATATTTATGCAATAAAACTATAATTAATTCGAATAAAAAGGTGCAATAATTAATATATTGAATTAAAGGGCTGAATGGAATACAACTATTAAGGAAATTGAAAATTATAAACAAATAAAAATGTAAAATGACCATTGTTAAACATTTTTTTAAAAAATAAAATTGCAAATTTGACAAATAATAATCTAAAAAGTAAAATACTAACATTGTTTTAAAAATCTATGGTCTAATATCATGAATTTATCAACACTTTACAAATTAAAGGGATATTGTAATACACCTGTTGCACTAATCATAATTTTTTACATATAATTATCTATAAATCTTATTAATCATATATGACAGGAATATTTTCCATAATCAGTAATGCAAATGCTAAAAGATTCTCTTCTGAAGTTCACAAATAAATTTAAATATTACTATTGTATCTTCTCTTAAAGAACTTGAAAAACATTTATGATTACAGGACAGCATTGTCTCCTGTAATCTAATAATTTTTTATCAGATGATCTATAGGGGGTAGCACAATGTTGAAAAGAGAAGTAAAACATTGGAGCAATTAGAAGAACCAAAAATTAAAGATATCAAATTCTTGTATATGGATTCATTATTATTACAACCATATATCCTTGGTTCTTTAAATTTAAATGCATCAAAAATAATCCTAAAATATGGACAAGCAGTAGCTTAAATTATTAAGCTGCAATGATTAGGTATTTTTTAATTTTAATTAATTTTATTTTATTTTGAAGTATTTTTATTTTATTAATTAATTATTTCATTAGAAGACGTAAAATTGATGAATAACAGAATAAGCTTGGAAAGTTATGGATACTAAAAATAGATTTGTAGTATCCTATACACGATGTGATAATGAAGAAATAAAAAGGTAATGTTGTGCAAAAAGTATTTATATTATTTTGTTAACATTTAACATTGGTAGACCATACTAATCTTATTTGGACACGAAATAATAAAAACAAAGAAATTTTTGTTAATCTAATGAATGCAAAAGCTGAAAATTACGAACAAAAAGATAAGCGCAACTGTTTTGAAAATAGTGATACTGAGAATTTTAATTTTAAAATGGAAGAACAAAAATTAGCCTTAAAGGAACGTAGTCTTTAACTAGATTATCCAATTTAGAAAATGGAAGGCTTTAGGATCATACAAATAATATTGCATGAGATTTATTATCGATAAAGTATATAGTTTATACGTATCAAGATAATTCATGCTATAATATACTAAAATAGATGATTACACTACAAACATCCGCTGTGACTCTACCAAAGTTGATTGTGGTTAGTGAATGATGGTACTACTATTATATACAGTATACCATATATATTAGTCTAAGAAATTTTTCCAAACGCAATGGTATGTTTTTGATCAGCTATACATCCTAGTTCCTACAAAACTGTGAATATAAATTTGTTTCATCAAAAGATTAATAGTAAAGATATTTCTTTTATTCTTTATTATATTAATTTCAACGCTATGAAAAGTCTGTTACTGTTTTCAGGAATTTTTCCATCTTTACTATTATGCCATGATATATAGTATGGCATCATACAATACAAACTGTTTGAAAATTAATAAAGGAAAATATTTAAACTATGATGTTATACAAATAGTGTTGAAAAAAGGCAATTGCCGTGGCGCCGCAGCATTGATTCGATCACCGATCCAAACCTAAATGGTGAAAGAATGGATTCGGGAAAAAAAGTTCGGTTGAAAAAAAGGAAAAGGGGAAAAAATTTTCGGATTGGAAAAAAAGCCACCAGAAAAAAAACAAGAAAAAAAAATTGAAAAAATAAAAACGAAAACAAAAATTTGTGAGGAGGAACAAAGAGAAAAATCGGGTTGAAAAAAAAAACCGAAAAGGAAAAAGAAAGGAAAAAGAAAGAAAAAATAAAAAAAAATTTTGGGGGAAAAGGAAAAAGATAAAGAAAGAAATCGGGTTTAAAAAAAAAATAAGTACCGAAAAAAATTCTGAAAAAAAAAGACAAAAAAATTAATAACATGGTTTAAAAAAAAAGACCGAAATAAAATAAAGAAAAAAGGAAAAGAAAAAGATATTTCGAACGAGAAAAGAGGAAATTTGAAAAAAAAGAAAGAACCATTTGTAAAAGATCGGTTCAAGAAAAAAAAATGAAAATTAAAAAAAGGGGGGAACCGGTTGGAAAATATAAAAAATTCAAATTAAATTACGTTAGTCACACAAACACCATTTTTTAATTATATAGATCGAATATTCTCATGAATATAATGCATTGACTCAATTGAAGTAAAAGATGTTGGAGAACATGTGGTTTTTAATGTAGTGGCTTTGCTATTTTATATTTCAAATATGATTCAAGTGTCTCTTTGAGTTCAGTTGGATAACTTTATAATAAGATTAACATAAATACAATATAATTTTTTATTTTGTTACATTTTGTAACATATTACATACAATTCATTCTATTTATTATTCATATAATTTTATAAATAATACTTTATTTAATAATAAACAATACATTCCAAATAAAATATCATATCTGTAGTAAAAAAAATAAATAGTAAAATAATAAAGAAATTTATATCCTTCCTTTCTTTTATTCTATAAGTGAAAAATAAATTATTAAATAATATTATTAATAAAATAAATCATATAAAAGGTTAATATATGTAAGTACCTAGGTCTAGTTCAGTAAAATCCAATGCTTCTAATGATTCTATAATATAAAAAAATAATTATATACATCAAATGAAATATTTAAAGAATGCTTTTGTAAAGTAAATTAGGAAATTAATTACCTGAATATTCTCCAAATGAATTATCATCATCCTTGTTATCAATAGCATTTTTTGGTTCTGGAAGATTTTTAAAATCTAAAAGCCTACTCGTGTAAACTGCTTGAGGATTTGTAGTATATGAAAGAGTAGGTCCAGTAGATGATGATGTCAACTTTTCATTAATCTTTTCTGCTTCTTTAATTTGCTTTTTAATTTCAGATTCATCATTATCTAATTTTTCATATAATTTATTTAATAAACCACGTAATTCGTTTGCTTTAGGTCGTTTTAAAGGATCTGCATCCCAACATTGTTTAATTATGTTTAAAATTAATTGAGGGATTTTATAATTTGATTTTGGCCTAAGTCCTTGACAAATGCTAATGGATAAAAATTTATCATGATCAATATCATGATAAGGAGGAAGCCCTGTACAGACTTCATATGCAATAATTCCGAATCCATAAATATCGCTTTCTTGAGTATATTCTTTTCCTCTTAAAACTTCTGGTGCCACATATGGTAATACTCCATATAGCTCTTTACATTCATTTTGGGATGATTTTACATTCGCTGGTCGACATAATCCTAAATCAGTAATGAAAGCATATTTGTCTTCTATTAATATATTACCACAATGAAAATCACGATGAATTAACTCTTTTTGATGGATATAATTAAGGCCTTCTGCAATATTTTGTAAAATCCTCAACTTTTCATCCCATTTTGTTGAATTAAAACTTTTATTTAAGTGTTGTCTTAAGCTACCATCTTTTGCATATGCCATTACTATCATAAAATTTCCAGATTCCGGATCTTTAGTAACGCCATAACACCATGTTATATTATCTATATATTCTGAAAAAAACGCATTATGCATTTCAATCTAAAAAGGAATCCATAATAATAATAATTAATAGATAATTTAACATTTATAATAGGACAATATCTTGAAATTATATACAAAATAAGTAACTTACTTCTTTTAAAAAATCGGATGTAATATCTTTAGAATTATGTAAACATTTTAAAACAACTGGAAAATCCTCATATAATCTGCAATAATATTTATTTCTATCCCATTTATTATTCTCAGAATCCCAACTTCTTATATATCCATCTTTCCAAATTGCTTTATAAATAGTTCCAAATCCTCCTTTTGTCAAGTATTCAACATTTTCAAATCTGTCATATTCAATCCATTCTAAAACTTCATCATATTTTTTAGCTGAAAGTTGTGCTTTTTGAATAAATTTATCAACTTCATGATTTCCACTAGTCCAATTTTTGAAATTTTGTTGAAAATTCTTAGCATAACATGTATTACACCAAGTACTACTATGAGTTTTAAGATGCTTACATTCTTTGCATAAACCATTCTGTTTATACATTACTTTTAATTTTTCATTTAATATTAACTTATCAATTAACAAACTTTGTTCATTGGTTAGATTCCATTGGTCAAAATCTTTTATTTGCTCAAATACATCATCATTGAGCATAAATTCTTCCATATTGGATTAACAAATGTGACTTCAATTTTATGTCTAGACAGAATAAAAAAGATTTTTTTTTTTTTTTAAAAAAAAAGGCGCCTTTTAAAACGTATTATAGTTGCACAGCAACGATTGACAAAATAGTGTTCTGATGATCATAAAAATTCACGGATTATCCTTTTTTATAAATCTCAAACAAAATACTTGTTTCACAAAAAAAAAAAGCTTCGTCGATCATTCTTTTAATTCTTCATTTAATATTAACTTATCAATTAAAACAAACTTTGTTCATTGGTTCTTTCCAATGGCCAAAATCTTTTATTTGCTCAAATACATCGTCATTGAGCATAATTTCTTCCATATTGGATAATAAAAAGAACAACTCTATGTTTTAACTGAGTAAAAAGGATATTTTTTTTTTAATTTTTTTAAAAAAATCCACGGAAACTGTCTCTTATACACATCTAGATGTGTATAAGAGACAGGTATAAAGGTACTTTATTGAATTTTGAAAAATACAGTACGGTCAATCAATGTGCATTAAAATTATTATAATTAGAATCGTGTTAAAATTATTAGATTAAAAATTTTTCAAAAAATGTATTATCCAATTAGTATAGTTACTTTAAATCTATATAAAACTAAAAGAAATATTTTACCATTATTATATAAAGAAAATTCATTTTAATGAATGAATTTAGTTATATATAATTTATCATTAAAGTAGGTAATATTTAGTATAAAAATTTCAATCTGCTTGTAAATAAAAAAGTAATTATTATGACAAAACAATAAATTATTAAAAAATTTCCATCTCCTACTAAATATTTTCTCAAAATTCAAAAATATAATAATAGTAGTTACGCTCAAAGATACTGTAAATTATCTTAAATAAGCAAGTTGTCAGTAAAATAATTTGATTGCATTATTTAGTTTCCATTATCTATAGAAAATTATTATTACAATAAGTTATTGCTATATTAATAAATGAAATAATTAGAAAGGAAGTTATATGAAAATATCATAACTTTGCTTACTGTAAGTGGATAAATGGGAGGCGGTCAGTATTTTCAATTATGGACATGTGAACAAAGTTAACTTGATAGCCAAACAAGGGTAAATGTTAAATATGGCAGTAAGCTTTACCAAATGGAAAATTTTATTATAATTAGATTTAATTTTCTGAAAAAATAAAATTTAAAGTACTGTTACGCGATTTCTTGCGCACGTGATTTCCGATATTGTATGGTGATCCGATGAGACTTCAGTACATTTGTGTACATGTCGATTCCCGGTGTTACGAGTTGATTTAGTTGCTGATTTGTGTATATCAGTTAACTATATTAAAGATATTGATTTTATACGTTGTATTTACATATATATCATTACTATAGTTATTCAATTTATTTAGTTATTATTATTTATATTATTTATTTTCTTTATTTGTATTATTTTAGTATTTACAATTTTATTAGAAGTTATTGAGTGGAAATAATTCAATAGTATTAATTGTCCAAAAACTATTGATTGTGTTCTATTAAAAAGTGGCTTACAATACAAGTTATCACTATTGTAATATTGCGATGAAACATTAATGATTAGATATCAATAGGTTAGATTCCGCCCTTGATGTCAGAAAAAGAGATGGCAGTTAGATAAATATACCGTCTACCAACGTGTTGAAAAAGATATATATTAGGATTCCCTTAAGTAATATACCTCTATTCTCCCTGACATTTTTCATCACTTTTCATCGTTTGTTGTAAACTCATAACCCTACGTTTATTTAATAAAATCGTCACACTTTAGTTTATTTAACTTGTTGTTTCTGTGTATTATTATAAGATTCGTCTTATAACCATCGTGTATTATTGTTAATCGTATTTTGTAGTTATTCACCTTGTTGATTCTTAACGAACAATACCGGAATACCAGGATAGGTAGTATTGAGTAAGAATCCCGTTTGTAATTGTGTAAATTTACGATTTAAAACCACTAGTTATACGACCCTTTACTTACCGATATAACCGGTAACAGTACGAAAGATAAACAAAAAAAAAAGAAATGATTGATAATCAATTATTGCTAAAAAAAAGGTGTATCTGCTAAGCATGTCCAAGTTATTTCTGTGTCACATGCAAGATCCCCTTGACTGAATCTAAAAAAAAAAAATGAAGAAAATAAATAATTTTAATTTACACCCAACATATTTACTATCAAATTAAAAAATATATAACTTAAATATATTGATTATAAATCCGTAGCACCGTAGCTTCGTTCTGATTATCAAACCTGGTCTAAACTTTAAAAACGAAAAAACAATAATTGAGTCTCTTTCTTCTTAATTGTACTTGGTAAAAGAGTTCTTTTCTTTTTGGATGTCTTTTTAAATAAAAAAATTTTAATTGTTTTAATTTTCAAAACAGTTATATAAAATTATTTTGATTCATATGTACAGTATCTCTTATATAGCTATTTTATAATAAAGATAAGTATATACTCCTTTTACAAAAATAAAAAAATAAATATAAATCAATTGGCATGGATAATTTAATGTGCTCAGTTTTGTTTTTTTTCATGAATGGCGAAAATTTTACGTTATCTCCCAAAGAGTTTCCGCTATAAAAATTATTTGTATCATAATAAAAGTTTAAAAATTTTAAATTTTTTATATAATAATTATATTAAATTTTTCTATTGATTATTATAATAATATAGAATAAATAAATGTAAATTCTCATACCCTTCGAAATTTATTTAAAAGTTATTTGAAAATATTAAATATCTGATACTCATTATTGTAATTCAGAACATTTTAGTTTTAAATCTTACAATAAAAACAAAATTTTTGAAATTTTTTTTTTTTTTGTTTCATTTATTTGATGATTTTTTTTTATAGCGATAGATGGTATAGAAGTTACTCCGGATCCGGCGTGAAGTTATACAATTCGAAAATACATAAAACAATGATATTAAAAAAAAAAATTTTTTTTTTTATAAACCAGGTCTAAAAAAAAATCAACTTTTCTAGTCGTTTCAAATAAAAATTATTAAAATAAATTATAAGAATTAATAAAATGATTAAAAAATGATTGAAGATGATTTGATTAAAAAATATTTATGCAAACAATTAAATGATTTAAAAAAATATATACAATTGATATTTATTTATTATAAATAAAATTTTTTTTTAAAAAAATTCGAACTTATAGCAATATATAAAGCATCCATTCATTAAGGAAAGAGAAAAAAGAGAAAATATTATTATTTTAAAAACTTGAAGACAAAAAAAAGTTAGGATAACCAATTTTGAATAAAACAATCAACATGTTATTGTTTCGAATCAAAGGGAAAATCAATTCACCGTTTTGAAGCCAAGAGCTGAACTTAAAAAAAATTATTATTAATTTTTCTATTAAAATAAATAAAAAGGAATGGTACATCTAAAAAATATTCAATAATAAATCAATTCTAAATCAAAGAGAATCAAACGCCTGTAGCCCTGTACCAATTGTCGAATAAATTAGCCACCCCATCGGTTTTGAAGCCAGAAAACCAAAGAACCTAAAGAAAAAATAAAGAAATATTTTAGTCATACAATTTATTTACTTAATAACTATAAATTATTAACAAACGTCTAACCTATTATTGAACGACTTACATCTCAACAATCCCGAAGCCAGGAGTCGAACCTAAAAGAATCTAAAAAAAATTATTTAGTCATTATTAATAAATAATTTGCCGAATGAATTAGTCACCCTATCAATTTTATCGTCTTTTTGATCTAACCGAGTTTAGATTAGGATAAATAACCATTTCGGACTTACAGATAAATATCAAATATCCGCAGCAGACAATAGAAATGGTGAAATTGATTCATCATTAATTTAAAATTAATGAAAAAAGATTGATTCGAAGTTTTTTTTTTTCAATGAATATTTATAAGCGTGTTACTAAATATTGGAACTAGTGCGCGCTTAAATAATGATTTCACGTGACTTTGAGTATTTCAACGCCGAAATTACAGAATTTTGTATATCGACTAAAAAAAAAGTTAGTAAATAATTGGTATATCTAAAAATTCATTACCAAATATATATTTCTAAATAAAATTTTCCTTCCTTGGAAACAAACAATTTTCAAACTTACTCTTCATTGTTTTGATAATTGTTTTTTTGTGCGAAAGTAATATGAATTATATGAAAAAAGGGTTTTTATTTTTTAAAAAATTTTCCAAGTCTAGACAAATTGCGTAACCCTAAACTCCATTATCAAACATAATTCCGCAGTAAAACTTAAGGGTGCGTTTTATGCACTATGCATAAAAAATAAAATTCCTTGGAAAAATACGTACTGTATACATTGATTAAAAAAAGCTAAAATCTTTTTCGCATTAAATTTGATCAAGTTAATTCTTAATGATTTAAGGTTGACACTATAAAAATAAATAATAATGAATATACTACCTAGTATTGAATATTTTTTTTATTAATTTATATTTAGTTGTTAGTATTATTTATTTGCGTAATTATTTAGAAAATTGAAGACGGTGAATGAAGAAGAAAAAATGACCAAGCTAAAATAAGCAAAGTGAATGATAGATTTTTTTTTATATTGATAATAAAAATGGTAATTAAAAATTGAAAATTTAACATATTCTTGAAATAGTGACTTCAACAAGTGTACAATAAAACCAAACTAAGAACCGAGAAATAACAAAATCTTTTTGTAAAGAAAATACCTTAAATTGGTTCACAGAAGCATCTTACCACTATTTGCAAGGCCGGCATTACAAAAGGTTCGGCCAGAATCATGTATCTCTTGAGAAACAAGGATAGTTGTAGCATAAATAGTAGGATTGATCTTTAATTACCACCTGAGTGATAGATTAATTTAAATGGTTCGGGTCTTTGATTTAATTTAATTTTGGTTCAGGACTTTGATTTATTTCTAGGGTTTTTGATTTAATTTTTAATTCTGTTCCGCTTTCTGATTTATTTTAATTTTTGATTTCGGTATTTAATTTATTTTTAACTTAGATTTGGGATTTTGATTTTGATTTTGATCCAGGTTATTGATTTAAATTGGATAATTTAAGCAACACAAAAATGGAAATAGGGGTATTTTACATGCATAATGAAAAGAAATATGAACTTTTGGGAAAAACGTGGCAAGATATGCAAGCTATTACTTCTATTCATACCATAACGATGGATTGTATTACACTGGAATCCTATTATCATTACCGTTTAAAGTTTGTATGAAATCGATCTTGATTTTCTCGAATTTGATTCACAAAATGTAAACCAGGGGCAAAAAATTAAGAATCCTGTAGGCAAAACTTTATTATTATTTCATAAATTGCAAGATTAGGTTTACAAAAAATATATCTAATTATATGGATAAGAATTCATTATTCATTTACTTTAACTCACTTTGAAGGATATTCACTTTTAGCATCAACTTGGGCTTTTAGTATTTGAATAATGTATGTTAATACTTTTTTTCGGTTTCCATGTTATCCTCGAAACTGCAAGTGTATTCTTGAGAAATATGAACTTTCGGATTTTCTGATGAACCATGCAATTCCATAAATCACATGATCCTGTTCATGTCGTTCAATTGCACTCCACATCTGAACGGATAACCTGAGCAACACCTTGGTCCATATCTTGCGACTTTGCTTCACATAACAGTAACAAAATATCAACAAATATTACCCAATAATCTATGGGACCATACCCATGACTCCCATAGTCCCACTCAACTGTTTTTCCACATCTAACATTATATTTGAGTTTATATGATTTTTTATGTAACAAACTGCATGTGACATAAATGCATTGATATATGCACGATTCTTCATTCCGTTGCCAAATTCCTTATCGAATGAAAGTAGATGCTTATTAAGTTATGTAACGAAGTCTTTTAACTCCTCCCCAGTAAATGGTGGATCTAGTGGGGCATATTCTTTCATGTAAAATTTTTGCATATTAGCAAGTGATCCATAAGTCTGTCGTCTTAGTATATCCTTAAACACAGCTTTAAGATTCCAGTCGCTATATTTCTTTCAGCCCTTAATCAGAACTTTTAATTTAAGCACAACGTTATTGTCTTCTTGTGCTGTTTGAGACTTCACTATGGTGTTAAAGTTGTACGCATTCCAAATCTCTGTTCCATAATTTACAAAATAAACGTTCCTTCCTCTAAATCTCCAAAAAATTCTCTAGCAAGAGCTTCCAACTGATCAAAAGAACCACTTGTATATGGTATTTCGCGTTTGCCGTACTTTTGCCCATATATTGATGTCACCTTAAATAAGTACTTGCTTGAAGTGGTAAAAACAAAGCCAAGAAATAAACCTCACTTACTGTTTATAGCTGAGATCGGGTAGCGAACAACGAGCGATTTTCATCAGTTGTTTCTTCAGCTAAGCTTTGGAATTCAGTTCCTGGTCGAATAGGTATGTTGTCATTGCCCCAAAATATAATATTATGCAGTCTAACACCTTTTAACTCTTTGAACTCGCTACTGAGAATTCCTTTGAAGTCGTTTAAATCTTAGACCTTAGTTACGTCAGCTCCCAATTTTAAGGGACTCGGTAAGCCTTCAAGAAGAATCCACATTTTCACTATGGACGGACAAAACTCAGTCATAATTTATCAACTGTGGATATACCAATTTAGGTTAGGATGTTTTAAAGTAATAAAAAAAAAAAAGTAACCAGAATGCGGTCGTAAAAATTGCAAATTTTTTGAATTTTGAATTTTTTTGATTTTTTGCAGGTAATATCATTAATTTATGCATAATTATCACACGATTGATAACTCACAATGAAAGGCTATAAGCTAAAATGAATAAAGGTGCGGGTTTAATAATTAGTGATGGGCATCTCAATTTTCTACGATCATGTGATGAAACTGGTTTTAAATGTGAATATATTTTTAAATTATATGGTATTACATTTTCATTACATCATGTTTTCTACATAGGGTTCATTTTTAAAAAAAATTCAGGCCATTTACTACAATCAAAGCGAGCACGTGCGGGCATAGTAGAATTCGATCCGGTACAAAATTTTGAGCAGGTCACGTTAGTGAAAAATATATTTCGGTAAGAATTTACTGAGTATATATTTCTGCGAGCCGAATTCCTGATTGCCGATCATCTGAACCCGGTTTAATCGTTCGGGTCACGTTGCATCGTTGCAGCAAATTATTTTTCGGTTACTACACCATTATAGTGATTATTATGATAAGAATAAATTTGATTTTCCATTCTATTTTAACATCATTTTTCTTAATTTTATTGTTAAAACGAATTGATATTTAATGACATAAACATTTTCTTAAAATTCAAAAATATAATAATTTAATAATGTCAAAAGTAATTACGATCAAAGATATTATAAATTATCTTTAAATAAAATTAGCAAGTTGCCTTTAAAATAAATTGACTAAGTTATTTAGTTATTATTATCTATGAAAAAAATTAAAAAATTATTACTATATTAATAAATGAAAATATAATTTTGCTTAATCGAATAAATGTGAAGCGGTTATCATTGACACGTGAACAAAGCTAGCCTAATAACCAAAACAAGTAAACGTTAAATATTACAGTGAATAGAAAAATTTATTAGATTTAATATTCTGAAAAAATAAAAAATTGTAGTATTAATTGAAAGGTAACAAAAAAAAAAACTGATTGGTAATCAATTATTGTTAAAATTATCTGCTGAACACGTCTAGGTTACTTCTTTATCATATGCAGATCCCTAAAGAAAAAAAAATGAAGAAAACGAATAATCATTTATTAAGTTCACTGCTCTAGTTATTATTTGCGCTATATTATTATGACACAAAAAAATATATTTGTACTTACATAAACATTTTCTTTATACGAAATGAGTGAAAGATAAAAAGTAAAAAACCTCTGTTCAAGTGATTTAGATCGTTATACTTATAATTCGGTTTATATAATAGACGCTTTATTTATTATATTATATTTATAAAACTTGAGCTACAGATAAAGTAACCATGCTTATTTATAGACATAATGATAATAAAAGAGTTAATAAAGGGGCTATATCGCGAAATTATAGTTTGGGAAAAAATCGGTATGAGTCAAAAATCGGTTTATCCCGAATCATTATATTGAGTTCTGACTGTAATAAGACAATAGTATGAAACACTATTTTTGTAATGGTGTAATTAGATTGACTTTAAATAGAAATTCTTAATAAAAATCAATTTTACATTTTGAAAAATAAATAATATATTAATTTTCTAATGAGCTAAATAGAAAAAAAATAAGCAAGTGTAACTAGCAAATTATTGATTTTTGATGATAAAAAAAGATGCATAATGAATTATAAAAATTATTATGTATTATATACTATAATATTACGATTAGTTATACTTTTTATTAATAAAAAAAATGAGATTAATGGAAATCATGCAATTTAACTTTTCAAAATTATTATACATTCGAGTTAGAATAAAAATTGATTTATCAAAGTTTTTCTGATCTTTCTTGAAAATTGATCTACTTACTTTAAAAAACTGACTATAATAAAAAAGTATGTATATCAGTTCTTTTTTATTAGAAAAAACTGTTACTGTAGACTCTCTTAGAAATCAGTCACCAGAAAATTATTTGTCATATATTATTTTTTTAAATAATATATAATATTTTTAGTAATTATTATTGATAATACTTTTTTATTTTTAATATTTTGGCTATGTACGTTATTAATAATAAATTTTTTTATATAATACTTTTTTAAAATGTTTATGTTAATAAATAAAATAATTTCAAATTGTTATTTATCAAAACTTGTAAAATTTTAAATTTTTACAAACATATTATTATATAGTATGAACAAAAATGTATAGTACAATCTATCTATTGTTGCTGACTCTTAAAAAAAGATAAAATAAAGTCAATTATAATAAAAAATATTGGCTGTCAAATATTGTATTCATAAACATAATTTTCTTATAAAGTTACTATTCCCCTTTTCGTTAGTATTTTTTTGTTCAGTTTGATAGGTTTTTGACCCACTAACCTTTATCTCACCAAATAATACAACATAATTCAAGATCGTCAAACATAATTATGCTTTAGTTTTGTAAAAAATTTTATTCGTAATTTCTATAAAACTAAACATTTACGGAAATATCATGGAATAAATTTTTATAGGTTAGGCCTGGATTTTATCACTTTTTTTTTCGGAATAAATATTAAAATAAGAATATTCCAAAATCATTAAAATTGTGAATTTTCTGATGTGAAAATATTAGTTGGAGAGGAGAAAACTTTACATTCTTTATATTAAGTTCACCTTATTTTCGTTTTACATTTTCAAATAATTGGATAAAGGTTGAAATCAATTATTTAAACTTTAGTAAAATCCGAATACAGTATTTCAGTGAAAGTATTTAATACTCGTATCAAGTGAATATAATAATTAATAAGTTATTTTAATACAATATTTACACTTTCAAATATTGATAAATTTCAGATATATGTACAGTAATTATATAGGTAAACTTTGAAATCGCAATAATATATTTAAACAAATATTTGCACTTTTTAATTGCAGCTGATGAATTAATTCTTAATGAATTGTGTTTTGTATTGAAAATTACCTTCTTAATGACAAATTATTATTAAAAATCGAACTTGGTATAACACTTAAACACATACAAAATATTTAAATTTTGATAATTTTTGTGATGATAATCAAAAATCTTGTTTAGTTGGAAGCTCATTATAAAGTTTTATGTAGTTCATATTAAATTAGTATATTTTTTCATACTGAGGTTACTACGTTTACTAAGGACTGTCTATTTTTGGGAAATTTTTTCTTCCTTTTTTGGTTACATTATTAAGCCCTATGCATTTATAAAAAAAGAATATATGGACTGCCATGATGCTAAAAATTAAATACTGTTAAAAGCATCACCATATGCTACTATTGAATTACGATTTATATAATGGCTCTCACTTAAACTACTGATTTGTTTGTAGATGTTAATATAAAATTTTGTAATCAAGAAAATATCATGAGAATTTAATTTTTATTTGTAGTATTACATAATATTAAATTATATAGATGCAATTTGGACTTATAAGTAAAAATTTTTTTGTACCAATATTAGTTTTATTACAATAAGTCACAACCAAAAATTTTATGGTCGAAAAAAAAAGGACAAAAAATTATATGAAAGTTAAAAAAATTTAAAATAACTTGAGCCTCTTTTTATTAAAACCAATTTTTTTTTTATTTTCTTTATAATAGTTTATTTTTACACCTATACGAAGTTTTATTTAAAAAATAGGGTTTTATCGAACTAAAAAAATAAGTTGAAATATTTTGGAAAAACGATAATAAACAAGAGTATTAAGCATTGTTACAATAAACGAAAAAGTGGAACCTATAAGAACCATAAAGTGATAATTTTGACTTTTGAAGACAGCTGCGGGTGGCGCAGTAATAAGAGAACTCACATGATGGCTATCAAAAATGGAGAACGAATGAGATTTAGTAAAAATGAGGTGATTTATTTGGAACGGCACCTGCAGATTTCATGCAGATCCTCAGACAAAATTGGTTGTCCTACAGTATCGGCGTAAATTATGGGGCTTTCTAGAATTATGGGCTGTATATTGTTTAGTTCAACAAAAAATTTTAACTATGTTAATTTTAGTACGTATCCACCAATCTGCGGAATACTTCATATGAGAAAGATTTTTGTAGTAGTTATTTTTCAAATAATTTTTAGATAAGTAATATTTACGTAAATGTATTCGTCTTACGTCTAAGTCGTTGAAGTTATATGTCTCTATTACCTCAGCAGAGAATATAATCTTATTTTATTTTATCACATAAATAAAAATTAGGACAAATATCATATTTGCTTGTATATTTTTTTTCGTGTTGCATGATTGACATGATTGACATCGATTTCAACTATATTGGAAACAATATTTAAATTTTACATTGTTATTTTGTGTTGAGGACTTGAGGTAACAAACACTCTGGTGTAACATTATAAATTTATAAAAAAATATGACACGAAGTTTAACGCTTTTAAAATTTTTTTTTTTTAAATAAATTAATAAAAGAATAAATAATGGTACTATATCATTTTTATGTATGTAACAAGTGTGGTGAAAAATATACAAACACGAGTATAAGTTGGTGTAGACCATGTCAAATAAATTATTTAAAGAATAATTTTACAAATTGGACAAGTGGAAATGAAAAAATTGATAATTTTATTCAAAAAAAGCAATTAAAAATTAATTGGTATGATGATATAATAATTGAATGGATACCATATAATCAATTTATTGATATTAAAAAAATAGAAAAAAATATTGATAATGCTGTTACTATATATTCAGCATTATGGAATAATGGTTCATTGCATTATGATATTAATCAAGAAGAATTAACAAGAAAGCCTAATACAAATGTTGTATTAAAATGTTTAAAAAACTCTCAAAATATAATAAATATAATTGATGAATTTCTAATTGAGGTATATGTATTATTTATAAGTTTAATTCAGATAATTTAATATAAATAACTTTTTTTTATTTAATAGGCTAATACATGTTATGATGATATGCATGGAATATCTCAAAACCCAGATACAAAAGATTATATCATCGTTTTACAAGATATATATTGTGAAAAATGTGGTGAACAATATACAGATGAATATAATAATAAATGGTGTATGCCATGTCACAGAAATTATTTTATAAATGAATTTAAAAACTGGGCCAGTGGAAATGAAATAATTGATGATATCATTCAGGAAATACAATTGAAAATTAATGTACCTAGTGATATAGTAGTTGAATGGATACCATTTAATCAATTTATTAATATTAAAGAAATAGAAAGAGTTGATGACAATACTACTACTATATATTCAGCATTTTGGAATAATGGCCCATTGCATTATGATACTAATATAAAGGAATGGATAAGAAATCCTAATATAAAAGTTGCATTAAAATGTTTTAATGGTTTACAAGATATTATTGATGAATTACTTAGTAAGGTATGAGAATTATTTGTAAATTTAACTTGAATGCTTAATATAATAATTTTATTTATATTTAATAGGCTGAAAAATATGATAGATTACATGAATTGTATGGAATATCACAAAACCCAGATACAGAAGAATATATCATTGTTCAAGATAAATATTGTAAAAATTGTGGTGAAAAATATACAAATGAAAGTATTAAATGGTGTAGACCATGTCACATAAATTATTTTGAAAATGAGTGGACCAGTGAAAATAAAATAATTGATGATATCATTCTAGAAATGCAATTAAAAATTGATAGTTATAATGATAAAATAGTTGAATGGATACCATACACTCAATTTATTAATATTGAAGAAATAGGAAAAATTGATGATAATACTGCTACTATATATTCAGCATTGTTGAGTAATGGTTCATTATTTTATAATAAATATAAAAAGAAATGGATGAAAGATTCCAATTTAAAAGTTACATTAAAATGTTTTAATGATTCACAAAATATTATTGATAAATTACTTAATGAGGTAAGGGATTATTTAAATATTTAACTTAATTACTTAAGATATAATAACTTTATCTATATTTAATAGACTAAAAGTTATTATACATGCTATGGGATATCTCAAAACCCAAATACAAAAGAATATATCATTGTTTTAAGGTATGGAATATTTGATTATGAATTGTATCAGAAATATCTCATAAATTATTTAAAAAATAATTCTATAAAATGGACGAGTGGAAATGAAAAAATTGATATCTTTATTCAAAAAATGCAATTATCAGATAATATATATAATAATAATACATGTGAGTGGATATCATATAGTCAGTTTGTTAATATTAAAGAAATAGAAAAAAATGATTTACTTATAATACATTCAGCTATATGGAATGATAGTCCATCATATTATAATCCTATTAAAGAAGAAATAACAAGAAAGCCTAAAAAAGTTACATTGATTACATTAAATTATTTAAATAAATCACAAAATATGATTGATGATTTTCTTAATAAGGTATAAAAATTATTTTAAGTTTGATTAAAATTCTTTTTTTTTTTAATATAATAATTTATTTACATTAAAAACAGGTTAAAAGTATACTGATGGTTAACAACAATAAAGTATATGATTCCTTCCATAAGAAGTATTATTCTTTAATGTGTGGAATATCTCAAAATCCAGATACAGGAAATTATATTATAGTTTCACAGGATGAATATTGTGAAAAATGCAGTAAGCAATATACAAACATACATGATAAGTGGTGTTTATGTCAAAATAATTTAACAAATTGGAGTGGAAATAAAAAAATTGATGAACTAATCCAAGAAATGCATTTAAAAATTAATAAATCTGATATTATTATTAGTATAGTAGTTGAATGGATACCATACAATCAGTTTATTAATATTAAAGAAACTGCCAAAGATAATAACAATACTGCTATTATATATTTAGCAATATTGAAGAATGGTCCACTATTATACACCAATAAGGAATGGATAAGGAACTCTTATACAAGTGTTGTATTAAAATGTTTAGATACTAATGAATTTTTTAGCAAGGTATGACAATTATTTATAAGTTTAATTTAGATACTTCAAATGAATAGACATTTATATTACTTATATATTATAAATATAGGCTAGTAATTATAATGACATATATGGAATATCTCAAAACCCCAATACCAAAGAATATATCATAGTTTTATCAAATAATGAATATTGTGAAAAATGTGGTGAATTGTATACATATAAATATTGCAGATGGTGTAAACCATGTCAAATAAATTATTTTAAAAATGAGTTTAAAAACTGGACTAGTGGAAATGAAATAATTGATAATTTTATTCTAGAAATGCAATTAAAAATTAATGATTATAGTGATAAAATAGTTGAATGGATACCATACAATCAATTTATTAACATTACAGAAATAGGAAAAGTTGATGATAATACTGCTGTATATTCAGCAATATGGAAAAATGGTCCATTATATTATAAAAAGAAATGGATAAGAAAATCCAATGAAAAAGTTGTATTAAATTACTTAACATTAGATATTAAGGAATTTTTTAATAAGGTATGAAAATTTTTTACATGTCAACTTAAATATTTTACTTTAGATAACCATTTCATTATATTTATAGGTTGATAATTACAAAGATATATATGGAATATCTCAAAATCCAGATACAAAAAATTATTTTATAGTTTCAAATAATAAGAAATGTATACCATGGTTAATTTTACAAAATAATTTTACAAATTTAAGTGGAAACAAAATAATTGATGATTTTATTCAAAAAATGCAATTAAAAATTAATTATTTGACTCATATAATAGTTGAATGGGTACCACACAATCAATTTACTGATATTAAAGAAATTGAGAAAGTTGATAAAAATGCTTCTATTACATATTCAGCAATATGGAAAAATGGTCCACTATATTATAGATATGGTAAAAAGGAATGGATAAGAAATCCTAATAAAAAAGTTATATTAAATTGCTTAACATTAGATATTGAGGAATTTTTCAATATGGTATAAAAATTATTTATAAATTTGATAACTTAAATATTCAAAGAAATAACTACTTTATTTTTATTTAATAGGTTGATAATTATAGTAACATATATGGAATATCTCAAAATCCCAATACAAATGATTATATCCTAGTTCTTCAAAATAGGAATTGTAAAAGATGTGGTAAACTATACAATGATTTAGAAAATAAATGGTGTAAGCTATGTGAAATAAATCATATACAAAATAATTTTGCAAATTGGAGTGGAAATCAAAAAATTGATAATTTCATTCAAGAAAAGCAAATAAAGATAAATGATTTCAATGATGTAGTAGTTGAATGGATACCATATAATCAGTTTATTAATATTAAAGAAATTGGAAAAGTTGATGATCATGTTGCTATTATCTATTCAGCAATATGGAAGAATGGTCCATTATATTATAGGACAAAGTCATGGATAAGGAATTCTTATAAAAAAGTTGTATTAAAATGTTTAACATTAGATATCAATGAATTTTTTATTGAGGTATGAAAATTTATTTAAGTCAATTAAATATTTTGCTTCAAACAATAATTTGATTTATATTTAACAGGTTAACAATTATAATGATATATGTGGAATATCTCAAAACCCAAATACAAATGATTATATTTTAGTTTTTCAAAATGATCAGTATTGTAATAGATGTTGCAAGCTATATAGTAATTTAAAAAATAAATGTTGTAAATCGTGTCAAATAAATTATATACAAAATAATTTGACAAATTGGAGTGGAAATCAAAAGATTGATGATTTTATTCGAGAAATGCATTTGAAAATTGATAGTTATGATAATATAATATTTGAATGGTTTCCATATAATCAGTTTGATTATATTGAAGAAGTAGGTAAAGGCGGTTTTGCTACAATATATTCAGCAATATGGAAGGATGGTCCATTAAAATGTAATTATGATAAAAAGATATTCAAAAGAGATAATTATAAAGAAGTTGCATTAAAATATATAGATAACTCATATAATATTACTAATGAATTTTTAAATGAGGTATGAAATTTCTTAATAAAATTGAATAATTATTAATATATTAATTTTGTTTATACTTTAAATAGATTAAAGCATATTCATTTACAGGTGATTATAATCATGTTCTTAAAGTATATGGAATATCTCAAGATCCCAATACAAAAAATTATATTATAGTTCTTCAATATGCAAAATGTGGAAGTTTTAATAATTGGATGCACTATTTCTATAAAAATTCTGATTGTTGTTTTAAATATTTTTTATTGAAATATATCATTGAAGGTCTTAAAGATATTCATCAGAAGCAGATGGTTCATCGTGATTTTCATATAGGGAATATATTAGTTAACAATAATTATTCTTTTTTAAATATTCCTTTAGTCATATTTATTTCAGATATGGGATTATGTGGAGAAGTTAGTAATAAAGATGAAACAAAAATTTATGGTGTTATGCCTTATGTAGCTCCTGAAGTATTAAGAGGCAAGCCTTATACTCAAGCAGCAGATATATATAGTTTTGGTATGGTTATGTATTATATAATAACTGGAAGACAACCTTTTGATGATTGTGCACATGATGAAAAATTAGCATTACAAATATGTAGTGGAATTAGACCTGAAATACCTGAAATACCTGAATTGAAATCAAATCGGTATATTGATCTAATGAAAAAGTGTTGGGATCTGAATCCAGATAATAGACCAAATGTTGAATTAATTAGCTCTGTATTAGATGATATGGGGATGGAAATTTTGGAAGATGAAATTAAAAGGGCAGAGAAGTATCTCTTTAAAGAATATAAAGAAAACAAACAATTAACTACTACTCATCCACAAGCTATTTATATATCTCGGTTACTTAATCCTTATACAGAAGGACTTGCAATTGATTTTACAGAGTAAGTCATATTCACTTAAATCTTATTTTCAACTTTCTATTAATAAGAAACATTAAAATTTTAAAATATCAATAGATTAGATGATGAAAAATGATCGAAATTAATTTTACTACAACTTATTTTACTTATTTTCTGCTTGTTATAAAAAATGTATTTTATTTATTTTTATAAATATTTTTTATAAAATGATAAATATGAAATTTCATTATATTTTGTTCAACACTGATATAGAGTATGTGTAAAACTTTTTTATATAAATAAAATCAGTTTGTAATTGAGCAATAAAATTAACAGTTTTTGAAATGAGTCTTTTTGTTATTATGCATCATCAATTATTCCACTTTCTATGGCTCACTATCCTAACAATTGACAATCATAAATAAAATTTTTTATATTTACTTTCTAATCCTGAGGAAAGAAACAAATTAAAAACTTATAGTTCATATCATCATGGCAGTTTTATGAAATATCCCAAAATTTGTCTGTTACTTTAATTAATTTTGGAAAGCTTAATCAATTCAATTGATCAAGTATGTGAAACTAATTAAGCATTACAGTATACTTTTATGACTAATTTGTTGAACTCATATATAAATAAAATATTCTTTCTATTAATTGACAATTTACATAAGTGCATAAAATTAAGGAAATAGGCAAAGAAATTTTGAATTACACCATGAATCGCACTATTATAAGGGATACTTTAAATCATTTATTGTTTCAAAAAGAGCATAAATTATTATCAGTTTTATTATCGGCTATACAGTGAAATAATTTGATAAACCGGATCTGTCAGTTCCACTAAAAATATCCAGTTTATCGGGATATCCGGTTTAGTGAAAAAATTTCAATATATTGAAAGTCTATTATACTGAATTTTCATACACTATAATTTATTTTTTTCATCTTAGTTTTAAGTCATAGAGGTCATGAAAATGAATATAAAATATTTTAATTGAATAAATAAGTAATATATAACTTCAGCCGGAATTAAGATTTTTATAATTCCGGCCAAAATCAAGATTTACCGCATCACGTTACTTAAATTTTATTGGCTCATGATCACGTGATCCAGTTTATTGAATCATTTTTACAATAGCTGGTTAGAAAATTGATCTGTTTGAAAAAAAACTCTTCTTTCTCACAAATTTTTCCATAAATTACTGCGGAAATTTTATTAAGAGAAATGGGTCCAAAAAACAGAAAAGCTAAATATATTCCATATATCCCAGTAGACGAGTATATAATAAATTTTACTGACCAGTTCCGAAGGATGATGTCCCACTTCCTTACTCAGTCAGAAATTTATACTAGCAGCGAACTATATCAAACCCATGTCACAAAGTCACTTCTAGGATGGCAAGACATAATAGAACCATGTAACGCAGCTGAAAACTCTTCTGAGTTTACTGGCCCTTTAAGGCCTGAAGTGTTCTTTGGGATAGTTTCTGCAGCCACTGCTAAAGCACGCCAAGAGTTGGAAAAGATAACTACTAGGTACCAGAATGCTTATAATAATGCCCTTGTTCAAAGGATAGCGACCGAAACGAAACCAAATAACAAAGGCAAACAATCCAACCAATCAGAGAACTCAAATTCAGCACGTTCTCAACCTCCCCCAGTGATCGACAAATCCATGGACATAGATACGGATATCTATCCGAACATTGCCGAAGGACAATCAAACCAGGAAGGCAATCTTATAGATCCATCTATTGCACCATCTACAAACACTACTATTGGTACCTCAGCTTCCGCTGCCATAACACAGACGGAATCAAAAAAAAAGAATAGTAAAATCACTAAATTAACTATGAATAATAACGTCATTCATGATACGCAAAAAAGTCAAGTGTGTACTCTCATGATTTACGACATACCATCAACTTGGTCACATGACCTTATCCTGGATAAACTAAAGGATTGGGGATGAGTTCTAGAAATTTCTTTCAAGACACAACACAAATATCAGTCCGTTTGGACTAAGATATTATTGTCTCCGCTTGCAGACTCAGAGTTCGTTATGAGAACATGGTCAAAACAATTAGGTGGAATTGATGTGAGATGGTATCTGGAATTCTGGAAACTCAAAGACCGTAAGGAATGTGAACGTTACCAGGCAAAAATCAATATCCCAGCAGATGCAACCGATGACATGATGAATAATTACGTCAGCGGACTACCTTTCTTTACTTTCTTGCAAAAGACAGGAAAGGTTAAATCATACCGTTCAATAAAGGACAAGGGCAATAAATTCGTGATACTTTATTTTGAGACACAAAAGGATCTTCATGATTTCATGGATCTAGTGCAACCTTGGAAAGTGACAATATCACATGCTCCTCCTAAACCGAACGACAAGTCTTCTAAAGACAAAAAGAAACGTAAGAAGGACGCTAAGCAAGACCAGAAGAAGACCAAAAATGATATCAAAGGTCCCTCTTCTAAATCACGACACAAACCAAAGCAAGATAAAATGGATACGGACACTCGTGCTTTGCTTCTCAGGCTATTAAATTTATTGGCTTGAACTTCTTTCAAAAATCCTTCAAAGACTATTTTATAGGTATAGAAGGACTCCTAAAGGCGAAGGAATGGATGAATTTTTATGAAGGGCTATAGTTGTATTTAGTTATAGGTACCCCTAGATTAGCGACTCCTATGATGAACCTATGTTAGTCATTTAAAGTGCATTAGTATTAGTTATAGTGTTTAGTTTCTAGTTTAGTCTATACAAAATTATTTAGTAGGTAGTAGTTTAGAATTAATCATTCTTAATTTTCTTTTTTTTTCTGCGTCATCAGGTTTTTTTCAGCTTCCGCTTTTTTCCTACTCCTATTAATTGGTCATATTCCCGGTCCCAGTGTGTTATTTCTTTTTTTTCTTTCTTTTTTTTCTTTTTTTTTCTAAGTAAATGCAAGTCTTTTATTTGGATAGTGCGTTTACATGTAAATAGGTCCTACTAATGTGGGATTAATTCCATTGTACTTTAANATAATTCTGGCCAAAATTAAGATTTACCGCATCACGTTACTTAAATTTTATTGGTTAATGGTCACGTGATACGGTTTATCGAATCATTTTTACCCTATAGCTGGTAAGAAAATTGATCTGTTATAGCGAATATCGAGCTTTTACTAATAAACTCGGTATGTCAACCCTATTTTAATACACATGATTTGGAAAAGTCCAGTTTAGGCCCAAATCCAGTTTATCAAAGATCTGGTGTATTGAATTTCAGTCTGAAGATTGGAATTATTAAATAATGTAGCAATAATATGTCAAATTTGATGCACTATCCTGGCCAAGTCTTTAAAAAAACTCATTTCTACCCGATCACCAATGTGAGGTGATATTTTTAGTTGTAAAGTGGGTTATAATAAATTCTTAAACTTTAATTGTAGGTAAATTATACTATAAACTACAAAAGTTACTTTAAAAGTTACGAATAAAGCTTCTACCATAATTATTATATAATATACTTCGATTATACTATAAATGTAACAAAACTTACTTATCCTTTTTAAGCCTAATTACTTAATATTGCAAGTCAATTTCTCTATTTCTAAATAATAATACCAATGTTGTTAATCGAAAATATTTATAAAAACATTAAGAGACTTAATTTGTCGTCAAGTTTGAACACTCTTAATACAATTATATTTACGATCTGTTAATAATAGATTAAAAAATGGAATATTAACAAGAAAATATGGGATTAGTATGCAACTTGAATGATGACAAAAATCCAATATTTAGTTTCCTTTTGCATTCTAATAATATTTTATATTCATCAAGTAATGCTCGATGTACAATATAATAATTACTATATAGTATATAGATGTACTATTCACAATCATTATAAAGAAAAATTAAAAAATTAGTGGGCTTGATTTAAGTAGAATTAGTTTTTTTATGAAATTTATGTTTTTAAATTACAAAAATATGTATTTAACATTTAGAAATCTAGTTAAAAGGAACTATTACTAATCTTTCATTAATAATGATTAATTATAACAAAATATTTTGCTGTATTTCTGTTCATACTATATACAGTATATGGTTGTTATTGGATACTGCAGGTTAGACATCAAAGACAACATATAATGATAAAAATCTGACATTCATTACAGGCACTGGTCTTTGTTTAATAAAATGTGATAAAAATAATGTTTAAAACCTATTAACGTTAATATACTATTAGTTAATTTAACTCGATTTGTGTAAATTCTTATAGATCTATTAATACAAAGCACATATTTGAAAATACAGTATCATTATAATCGGGAAGTCCACCAATGGTTATGTACTTTCCAGTATATTATCGTCAAACTTTTTACTGATTAAAATTTATAAATTGTCATAATGAAACATTTCTTAAAAAGGTTAACTAGACTATTTATAGTATAAATGATGAATGTTGATAACACAAGTTATTAGTCACGGTCGTACAAATGTAGTATTTTATTGGATAGTATCATTATTATTACACAATGTATATACCGGAAAACTTCGTATATTTATTACACAAAATGACAATAGAAGTTTTTTTTACATTTTTAAACCCTTTTTACACCAATATTTTTATTTTTATTTTTGTTTTTAAAAAAAAGTTAAAAAAAAAAAAAAAATAAAAAAAAAAAATGGCTTGTCAACTTCCAACTGAATGTTTGAATGAAATACTTGAATATTTAGAGGGAGATAAACTCACTTTACATTCATGTTTGCTAGTTAATCGTCTTTGGTGTAAAATAGCTGTTAGAATCTTGTGGAGAAATATTTTGGATTATAATTGTTATCAACCACGTTCATTAAGGATAAAATCATCAATTCTTAGTACATTAATTGCTAATCTTCCCATTGAATCAAAAAATCTTTTACATAAAAATGAAATTTTCATTTCAACACCTACTCTAAATTCTTTATTGTTTAATTATGTAGAATTTTGCAAAGTCCTTTCAATTAATAAAATTATTTCAATAGTTGAAGATGTCTTATCAAATGATAGAAATAATTTAGTTACGAATGAAATTATTAAAATGTTTATAAATGAAATTTCTTCTTTGGAAAAATTTACTTATTACTATGATTATTATTCCCACATAAATATTTCTATCCCTTATGTTCCTGGAGCGAGAGATCTTTCAGAATTATGTTGTAGTTCAAATCTTCCTTCAAGCTTTCTCTTTCAGCTATCTCAAACATGTCATAATTTACAATCAATTTCTATATCATTTGAGGGAAAAAATGTTTCAAATGGGTTAAATGAATTAATTTCTTCACAAAATAAATTAAAAAATTTAACTTTATCAACTTATCGTTATAGGATTAGTTGGGCAATTATTATACCTGCTGTAATAAAACACTCTAAAACTATAACGAAATTACAACTTTATGGTGATTATGGAGATTTACCACTTTCATTTGTGAGTTTATTCACAAATTTACAAAAATGTATATTTTCATTCGATAATGGAGTAATTTTAGAAGATTTTAAAAAGTTACAAAATGCTAATTTCCTCAAGTTAGAAATTTTAAAAATTCCTCATCAATGTTTTAAGCCTGAGTATATAATTAAATTTTTAGAAAATAATGGAAAGAACCTTAAAATATTTTATATGCTTGAAATGAATAAGGCTTTAAGTTTAACTATTGCTAAATTTTGTCCAAATATTAGAAAGCTTTTTATAGTATTTAATAATGATGAAATAGATATTTTAAAAGCTATATTTATCAATTGCAAATACTTAGAAAGTATTAAAATTTGGTTTGGAAATAGAAATTTGTATTTAAAAAAAAAGGAAGTATTGGATACTGTTGTAAATTATTCACAAAGTAATTTTCATAAACTAAAAATACATAGTGATTTAAATTCTGATGTTACTCCAAAAGATTGGGAATCATTTTTTATAGGCTGGAAAAACAGAACACCAAAGAAATTACTTTTTTTAATATTTATTAATATTTTTGAAAATGATGAAAATTTGAAAATTATTGAAAAATATCAAAATCTAGGTATTATTAAATTTTGGTGTAAAGATATTGATGATTCAGACTACGTATTATATAATTAACTTTTATTTATCTTAAAAAACTAGAGAATTCTAGAATTGGATTTAGTAGTATTGTATGTTTGTTAGTTTTAAATATTAATAAAGTACAAATAATTAAACTTTATATAATTTTAGATTTTTAATAACAAGTGTTAAACATGATATTAATTAAAATACTACTAGATGAGAATTATGAACCTAACAAATAAAATAAAATAAAACAAATTACTATAGTTATATATAATTTTTATTTTTTTAATGTAAAATTGTAGAATAAATTTTTTGTGACAAGAATATGAATAACTTCATAATAAATATGCGAACTGGATGAATGAATTTACATTCATTTAAAGGTGAGATCTAATGAATTCAAAATTGTATGAATTGGATTACTTGGTTGCTGAATAAATATATTCCAATGCAACAATGCATTTATTTTTAATCTTTAATTTTGGACATTAATATTTCTGTATGTAATGGGCCAATCTGAATAATAGTATTTGATTCAAAAGATAGAAAAATATCTCTCCTTTCAGATGAATATAAAATTATTAGCTTGGTAAAATTCTCAAAAATTATGTTTCCTACCAAAAAATATTTCACTAGAGAGTCATAAATCTTTTTACTTTACTATTTACTAATTAAGGATTTTAGTAGAAGAAAACTAATAGAACAAATCTAAAAGGTAAAAGATAAATGATATAAAATTAGTTTATTGAAAAATAAGAGTACTTCCTACATTTTATTCATAAATATTTTATAAATAAAAAGAAAAAATTAAAAAAAAAATGATTTTTTTCCCTAAGTAAGAAAGTATTAACCTTATTTCTTTTACTGACTGGTTAAAAAATTAATTCTAACATATTACATATGTCTACAAATTTTTTAAAATAATGATTGAAAAGAAGTAATTATATTTTTTATTTTCTGAAAATAAATTTGATCAGTTGAACACGTAATACCATATTTAAATGTAGGCTTGTGAAATGCAATTTTTCCAAAATTTGTTGGTTGGTATGCTTAGTTTTTTGTTTAAATAAAATTGATTAGTAGGTACCAGGTATAGAGATAAACTGTACTGTACGATTGGCTAAACTGTACCGTACAAATTTTTTTTCGAAATTTATCGTACAGTACAATACAGTACTATATAAAGCGCTATATTGTACTGTATTATAAATTAAAAAAATTCGTACAGTACAGTTTATTACTATACTTGTAATTATATTTATAATAGGTATGTAGATAATTTTTGACATACTGATTAACTTAGTTCAAATAATAACTTTTTAACCTATACGTTTTTTCACTTGTAACTGTATTTTCTCATTAAAATAAATAAAATAAATTAAAATAATTTTTTATTAATCATTATTACGATTGAAATTTTATTAATATTACTGATTTACATAAAATTCTTTTTACAATTTGACAGATTTTTTTTATTTCTAATGAGTTTTAAAGGGTATTTATTTAATATTTTATATAAAATACGATTAATTTAATATTTTTTTATTTTCAAAACTGCCTCTTAAATTAAAAAGAGTAAAAATTAGAGATAGGATAGAGATGAAAAGGAACAGAAAAGCAATGAAAGGAAAATATCATGAGTAGAAACAATTGTTAGGAATTAAAAATGCGAAAGTGAAGTACCAGGAATGAAAAAAAAATAAAACAACAAAAGGGAAATGTTAGGAATAAAAAACGATAAATGGGAAACGTCAGAAACAAAAAACAACAAAAGAGAAGTATCAGGAATGAAAAAAAAATGAAAGGGAAGTGTCAGGAACAGAAAACAAAGAAAGAAAAGCATCAGAATGAAAAAAATGAAAAGGAGATGTCAAGAATGAAATAGGATGCATCAGGAATGAAAAAAAATGAAAGAAAGGTGTTAAGAATGAGAAACAACAAAAGGGAGATGTCAGAAACGAAAAACAAATAGACATAGAAGTATCAGATATGAAAAACAATAAAAGAGAAGTATCAGGAATGAAAAAAATTAAAGGAAGCGTAACAAAAAAAAAATTAGAAATAAAAAAAGAAAACCACCGCCCATGAAAAAGAAGAAATGATTAATAAGTTTCAAAATCAAAAGAAGTAACAGAAAACAATAAAATAATAAGAAAAATGACATACTTCAGTTCCTTAGTAGCTAAAATATTTCAGCAAGAAGCAACTATGTTGAAACAGTTAGCAAAAGTAAAAAGCAATAAATAAATAAATAAATAAAACAGTAAAATAGTAAAAAACAATAAAAATTACCTTGAACTGTGCGCTAGACTTTTCTAATAAAGTCATTCCAAGTCTTAAAAAAAGATGATTTCAAAAAATAAGAGAACAAAAGAAAAAAAAATAGTACACGAAAAGTCGAAAAGTGGATGAAAAAAAGATTATCTGCGATGAACAAACAGATTAAATATACGCGTGACAAAATCACGTGAAAAAAGAACTGTACTGTACGAAAAAAAAATCGTACAATGATTATTCGTACAGTACAGTTTAGCTGATCGTACAGTATAGTTTATATGTATACTCGTAGGTACCTATCCAGATTACTTTGATATCATATACAGATTTCTGTCCAAAAGGAAAATAAAAAATTAGTTATAGTGTCAGGAAATGTGATAATATAATATTATTTATGAGGCGCAGGTTAAAGAATGTAAAATCGGTTTGAAAAAAAAAGCCAAACCGAAAAAGGAAAAGGGGAAAAAAATTTTTGGATTGGAATTTCACTAACCGGAATTGGATTAGATATACAANGAATGAAAAAAATTAAAGGAAGCGTAACAAAAAAAAAATTAGAAATAAAAAAAGAAAACCACCGCCCATGAAAAAGAAGAAATGATTAATAAGTTTCAAAATCAAAAGAAGTAACAGAAAACAATAAAATAATAAGAAAAATGACATACTTCAGTTCCTTAGTAGCTAAAATATTTCAGCAAGAAGCAACTATGTTGAAACAGTTAGCAAAAGTAAAAAGCAATAAATAAATAAATAAATAAAACAGTAAAATAGTAAAAAACAATAAAAATTACCTTGAACTGTGCGCTAGACTTTTCTAATAAAGTCATTCCAAGTCTTAAAAAAAGATGATTTCAAAAAATAAGAGAACAAAAGAAAAAAAAATAGTACACGAAAAGTCGAAAAGTGGATGAAAAAAAGATTATCTGCGATGAACAAACAGATTAAATATACGCGTGACAAAATCACGTGAAAAAAGAACTGTACTGTACGAAAAAAAAATCGTACAATGATTATTCGTACAGTACAGTTTAGCTGATCGTACAGTATAGTTTATATGTATACTCGTAGGTACCTATCCAGATTACTTTGATATCATATACAGATTTCTGTCCAAAAGGAAAATAAAAAATTAGTTATAGTGTCAGGAAATGTGATAATATAATATTATTTATGAGGCGCAGGTTAAAGAATGTAAAATCGGTTTGAAAAAAAAAGCCAAAAAAAAAAAAAAAAAACGAAAAGAAATAAAACGATTAGAATTTCACTAACCGGAATTGGATTAGATATACAACATAACTTGCTGATCAAGCTATAAAGAATACAGATCAGTAATTCAAAATTAATTTATACAGACTAATCTAAACATTAGTCACACAAACACCATTTTTTTTTAATTATATAGATAGTTTAAATAGTTTAATATACAGTACTTCAAATAATAAAGCGATAACTTCATTTGAGACCAATAATTTCGTTTTTCATATATAATAAATAGATATAATGAACTATGAAGATTTTTAATTGGAAGGAACGTACTATTCATATTTTATATTGAAATAATTTCATAGTTCTGTAACTTTGTAATATATTTAATACTCATATTTTTGAACACCTTTGAAATCTTTCTCCTATGAAATATTTTAGTTTATAAAATAAGTAACCACTTATTTGATAAAAAAAAAAATAAAATATATATACTGAATATATATATAAAAATATAAACAAATGCAAGTAAATAAACACTAATTTTTTATATTCGTTTCATCGTATCAATTCAACTTCAACTCATAAAGAAATCAATTTAATAAAGCGTAAAACTAATCAAGATCAGTAAGAATCAATTAATAAAATAATAAAGCTGTAAATTTAGAATAACTGAAACAAATTAAAATATATTACTCACAAACTATGAATAAGAAAATATTGTGAATAAGGTTAGGTTACTTTAGACCCAGGTTGTGATTTAGTTCGACTTTGAAGTACATTATCACTAAAGAAATGCGCCAATTCCTTCATTATCCTTCTATAAAAGAAAATATGAAATAAAAATAACCAATTAATTAATATTTTAAATTATCTTACCGTCTAAATAAAATTGTAGGCAAATCTTTTGCTTGAATATTCGGTAACAGTAAACATATGTTATAATTATTAAATAAACATGAAATCAATACCATTCCAATTGAACGAACTCCACCATCTACACCTCCACCATCATCATCCAATTTATGACTCTTCCTGTCATTTTCTTTATTTTCTGATATCATCATTGAAAGATGATGTATTATCTAAATAACTTATATATTGGAAGGAACATCAGCGGAAACTGATAATTGTTGTGCTTTTGATCTGATAATATCACGAGGTAGAGATTCTAAGAAGTATCTAGTCCACAATCTATTAAGAAATCATTAATTTCTTCTTAAGTTACGACTTAACGGACGCTATTTATTAAAAAATGTTCAGTTTAATTAATTAATTTGCCAGTACCAATTTTATTTTGGTACAATTTATAACAGACGAACTTTAAATTTTTTGGGGCAATGTGAAAATCAAAAGCAAAGATCTGATTTTATGTTATTTTTTAACGTGATGAAAATACAGGCGTTTAACGAACGTCTGCATACTGTAGTCATGTTATTTATCTATATGCGCAGTAAATTGTTCCTTTACAGATTTATTCAAAATTACATTTTTTTTAAAAAAAAAACCACGATATTCAATATTAAAAATAGATGGATTGACCACGATTATTCGGGCTATATTATTTCCGATACAATGATCTGCGTTACATTTATACATTGTTATGGCGAATTTTTATCGGCGTTTTTCTCCGAGGATAAAGCATGCTTTAACTAAAATTAGAAATTTGTTTACGTTAAATAATAAAATATGCCTAGAAGAATTTTTGAAAAAAAAAAGAATTTTTTGAAATTATTTTTTTTCAAATTTAATTAATTTAATTAATATAAAAAAATTAGATTACGTAATAGCACATGGACCAATTTAAATTTAGGATTCATTTATTGTAACTTTTGACATCTATTTTTATCAAAAATGGATTTAATTTATATATTTAAATTTTATTATTTTTTAAGCATACGATACCCAGAAAATTTTTTTCAAAAAAAAATTTCTTTTTTAAATACTATTTGTGTATTTGTAAGTATTACTTGTGAGTATAACGAGTACTATAACAGGATTCTTAATTTATATTAATCATTTAATTATACAATGTATCGTCAAATTTCCGAAAACATAAAAAAAAATTACTATTAAATGTACTGTAATTATTATAATTATATTAGTATAACGATTTTTATAACACCTATATGATTAGGTTTTATTTGTGGAAATATTCAATTCATACCCATTTATTTGTCTACCAATTTCATTGAAGAACATACTGATATAAACATTTCTTATAATCTCAAAATTTTTCAAAAATTAAGCTTGTTTATTTTAATTACAATTTTTTTTTATTTAGATTCTACTTAAATATAGCTTTTAATGCTTTAACTGTTAATTAAAGTTTATTTAAATAATAGGATGTTAGAATACATAAATTTGTTTGAAATTTTGCGTATGTTTTATTATACTAAAACACAGTGAAATTTGACACATCGGACCAATCTGTTTCAATAGAAAACTTTTTCCAAGTATTTTGGTATATTATGGAAAACGTTATTAATGCAGATCAATGCATCGGAAAAAAATATGACCCGAAAAAATTCATTTTTAATTGTAACTTCTACTTTTGGTTAATTTTTCCTTTTTTGGTAACTCATTCATGGCATATTGAATAAAAAAAAAAAAAATAAAATTTTTTTTTTTTCAATAAATTTTTTTTTCGATAAAATAAATTTTTAAAATAACCAGATGGAAACTAAGCTTAGTAATTTGAATATCTCGGATAAAGATACTGATACTATAATTACCAAAAATTGTTGTAAACCATTTACTAAAGAATTATGGTGTAAAGAATGTATTCATTCTTTAGAAAGATCAGCAGAAAATGGTGATAAAGTGGCAATGTATAATTTAGCCATATGCTATAAAAATGGGGAAGGAACAGAAAAGAATTTAGAAAAAGCCTTTTATTGGTATCAAAAAGCAGCAGAAAATGATAAAGTAAATCCTAAAAATGAAGTTAAATCATGTAATGAATGCAAGCAACCATATACTGATTATCAGTAGTGCCAACAATGTAATACTATACGATTTCAACAAGATTTTTCAAAGTGGACTAGTCAAAATGAATTTATTGATAAATTTATTCAAGAAGCACAACTAAATGCTAAAAATAGTTATGAAGTTTTAGAATGGATACCTTATAATAAATTTAGTGTTCCGAAAGGGTCGAGTCGGGTCGGGTTTGAGGATGTATTCGAACTTGACCCGAGTATAAAAACCAACCCGTACAAATACCCGGGTTAATATTTACATGACCCGACCTCTGACCCGACCCGATATAGTTTAACCCCCTGATAACCCTGGTCCAAATAAAATTTTCATATGTTTAAAATATATAATTTTTTAAATCCTCCTTACGCCCAGCCTAATTTCAAAGATATACACGCGCAATTTGTAATTGGTTTTGCTTCTTTTGGCCGGTTCCTCCAGAAAAAATCTTCAACTGTAAAACTTTTAATTACAGGTAAAAAAAAAATTTAATATTATTTAATTACAAGATAATCTCTTACCATTGATGCTAGGTGTGAAACTGTGAATACTTTACTATATTTTACTAGTATATTTTCATAACGATTTAATAAAATCTAATAAAATATACTGGTTATTATTAAACATATACCTTCCATCATAGTAGAACATCTTGATTTCGATCTGCTCAAGGGTTATAGACTTCTTAAAATAAGTTCGCTTTCCAAGAGTTAATTTCTCACCCTCACTCATTTTATACGCAAACAAAGTTAGAAATTAAAAATCGTGTAACATAGTAAACGTTTGTAAATATTTTAAATATAAATATTTGATTAAACCCGGGTCAACCCGGGTCAACCCGGGTCAAGCAAAGGTGTGACCCTGACCCGACGGGCCGGGTTGAATATAAGACTCGTGTCAAATAATGATAAACTCGATTCGGATTTTAAACACGGGTCGGGTCAAATGACCCGGGTTTGACCCGACCCTTTCGGAACACTAAATAAATTGTCAAGCATTGATTATTATGATAAAGGAGGATTTGGTGAAATCCACAAAGCCATCTGGTTAGATGGACCTATTTATAGTTGGAATTTTAAAAAACAACAATGGGATAGACAAATAGATTATGAGGTTATTCTTAAAATACTTAATAATTCATCAAGTTTAAATAGTAAATTTCTGGATGAGGTATAGTATTTATTTTAATAATTTTAATAGCAAATTTTATTTTCTTTTGCAAAAAATTTAACAATTTTTTTTATTGCCTATATAGTGGAAATATCATTATAATTGTCAAAAAAAATCATTTTCAAAATTTATTCAATTCTTTGGAATTACTCAAGATCCAAATAATTTAAATTATATAATTGTAATGAGTTATGCAAAAAAAGGAAGTTTAAGAAAATGTTTGTCTAATATAATTAAATTTAAATGGCAAGACAAGTTACAATTATTGAAAACAATTATATTAGGACTTAAAGTAATTCATGAATCAAATTTAACTCATGGTGATTTTCATGATGGTAATATTTTAATGTCAGATAATCACAATGAGTTATTTATTATGATTTAGGGCTATGTAAACCTATAGTAATAAGATTAATGAAATTTATGGAGTTTTACCTTATATGGCTCCTGAAATATTAAGAAACAAACCCTATACCCCAGCAAGTGATATTTATAGTCTTTCAATGATAATGTGGGAATTTACATCAGGTGTTCCTCCATTTCATAATGAAGCACATGATCTTGAACTTGTCTTGGATATTTGTAATCAAGAAAAACGTCCTGAAATTATAAAAAATACTCCAAAATGTTATATAGATTTAATGAAAAAATGTTGGGATTCAAATCCCTCCAATAGACCAACTATAAGAATGCTTGAAAATATTGTATCTGAATGGGTTAGATGTATTAATGAATATTATAAAATAAACAGGGATGGAATTTATCGTTATGTTGTACCTAATATTGATAATCAATTAAAAGATGATATGTTTGAATTTGTAGAAACAAACAAAATTTTAGTACAAGAACAAGCAAATACTTCTATTATGCAATCTCATCCACAAGCATATTATACAAGTCGCAAATTTACTGAAATTTTAGCTCAAGAAAAATCTGAAATCGTAGTTCAGGAAAAGTCTGAAATCTTAGCTCAGGAAAAGTCTGAGTGTTTTGAATGTATAATTGAAAATAAATGATCTTGTTACTTATAGAATTATTTATATTATTTAAATTACAATTATTGCAATAAAATAAATATTATTAAGTACAAATGTACAATTATAATAATTATTGAATAATGTTTGTTTATACAGTATTTTTATTTTCATTAGTATTGCTTATAAATTATGTCTGTTTCACAGAAACTCATTTTTCCAAGGTCATTTCACTGAAGAGAAGTTTTGGAAGTTTTGCAGAAGAGACATTTCATTAAGAGCATTTTGCTATCTATTTTGTTGGAGGACATTTTGCCTAAAATGTTAGCAATTGACATATTTCTTTAATTAAAAGCAATTTAATTAGGGTTGGATTAGTCCGGTCCAGTCCAGTCTGGTCCTAAAAAGACCAGTTTTGGACTGGACTGGTCTTTTGACCAGTTCTTAAAGTTTTTAAATTATCTTATTTATAACAGCGGTATTCTTAACAAAATAATGAAATGCAATTCACACTAAAAAATTATGACATTAATTTGTTATTTATGAGTAAAATCTAGATAGAATTTTAAAACATTATACAATTATCAAAATATGAAAAAAAAATTGTAATGGAAATAAAAAAAAATATAAATAAAATTATCAATTGATGCTAATCATGTAATACAAAATAATTGCATATGCAAAAATTTTTATTTCAAGAAATCAAATGATATTGATATATAAAAATTTTGATATTTTAAAATGAATACTTTATTAATAATATATAATTTATATAATTTATTATTTTTATTTTAGATTAAAAATTTTATATAAAGTAGTCAGTCCCAGTCCGGACTGGTCCCCAAATCTTGGACTTAAAACCATGAATGCTGGTCCCAAGACTGATACAGGATCGGTCTTTGCTGGAACTGATCCAACCCTAAATTTAATACAAAGAAAATAATAAATTTTCAAAGAACAAATTCTCTTTTTTCGCTTATTCCAGAAATCGTTGAAGTTATATGTCTCTATTATATCTCAGCGGAGAATATAATCTTATTTTATTTTTATCACATAAATAAAAATTAGGACAAATATCATATTTGCTTGTGTTACCGAAATAATGACGGTAATTAAGGGACGAATGGCGGATGATTTATATCGTATAACTACACGAATACCAATGAAATTCTTACTCAATACTACCTAACCAAGGTATTTCCGGTATTGTTCGTTAAGAATCGTCAAGGTAAACAACTATAAATACGATTAATAGTAATACGCGACGGGTATATAACAAATTTATGTGAATAGGCAGAAATAACGTATATAAATTGACGAAGTATAACAATTTTATTTTATATATGTAAAAATTCGAGTTTTACATTAAGGTGATAAAAGGGTAATAGGAATTATCTCAGAAACAACTACCTAAGTCTCCCTTTAATGGAGCTGGCAGAGACATATTTATATCTTATTGCCATCTCTTTTTCTATCGATCAAGGGCGAAAATCTAATCTATAGATTGTCTATTCGTCATGTTTCACCTCAATATTACAATAGCGATAATTTGTATTGTAAGCCACCTTTTTAATAGAACACAAATGATAATTTTAGATAATTAATACTATTGAACTAATTCTCACACAATTAAATTCTAATAAAATTGTATACATAAATAATACAAATAAAGAAAGTAAATAATATAATTGATAATAAATAAATAAATTAAATAAATATAAAAATGACATATAAGTAAATTTATCATATAAAATCAATATCTTTAATATAGTTAACTGGTATACACAAATCAGCAACTATACATCAGCGTAAATCGTCTCGTAACATCGGAAATCGACGTGTACACAAATGTACCGAAATTTCATCGGATCATCATACAATATCGGAAATCACATGCGCAAAAATTCGCGTAACACTTGCATATTTTTTTTCGTGTTGCATGATTGACATGATTGACATCGATTTCAATTATATTGGAAACAATATTTAAATATTACATTGTTATTTTGTGTTGAGGTAACACTCTGATCATCTGATGTAACATTATAAATTTATAAAAAATCTGACATGAAGTTTAGCGCTTTTAAAATTTTTTTTTTTTTTAAAAAAAAAATTAAATTAATGAAAGAATAAAAATGGTACTATATCATATTGATATATGTAACAAGTGTGGTGAAGAATATACAAGCACATATATTAATTGGTGTAGATCATGCCAAATAAATTATTTAAAGAATAATTTTACAAATTGGACAAGTGGAAATGAAAAAATTGATGATTTTATTCGAAAAAAGCAATTAAAATTTGATTTGTATTATACAATAATTGAATGGATACCATATAATCAATTTATTGATATTAAAAAAATAGAAAAAAATGTTGATAATGCTGTTACTATATATTCAGCATTATGGAATAATGGTTCATTACATTATGATATTAATAAAAAAGAATTAACAAGGAGGCCTGATATAAATGTTGTATTAAAATGTTTAAACAACTCTCAAAATGTAATAAATATAATTGATGAATTTCTAATTGAGGTATGAGTATTATTTATAAGTTTAATTCAAATAATTTAATATACATAATAACTTTTTTATATTTAATAGGCTAATACATGTTATGATGATATGCATGGAATATCTCAAAACCCAGATACAAAAGATTATATCATCGTTTTACAAGATATATATTGTGAAAAATGTGGTGAACAATATACAGATAAATATATTAAATGGTGTGAGCCATGTCACAGAAATTATTTTATAAATGAATTTAAAAATTGGGCCAGTGGAAATGAAATAATTGATGATATCATTCAAGAAATACAATTGAAAATTAATGTACCTAGTGATATAGTAGTTGAATGGATACCATTTAATCAATTTATTAATATTAAAGAAATAGAAAAAGTTGATGACAATACTACTATATATTCAGCATTTTGGAATAATGGTCCATTGCATTATGATACTGATATAAAGGAATGGATAAGAAATCCTAATATAAAAGTTGCATTAAAATGTTTTAATNCTAATATAAAAGTTGCATTAAAATGTTTTAATGATTCACAAGATATTATTGATGAATTACTTAGTAAGGTATGAGAATTATTTGTAAATTTAACTTGAATGCTTAATAATAATAAATTTATTTATATTTAATAGGCTGTAAAATATAATATATCATCTGTTGGATTATATAGATTATGTAGGTTACATGAATTGTATGGAATATCACAAAACCCAGATACAGAAGAATACATCATTGTTCAAGATAAATATTGTGAAAAATGTGGTGAAAAATATACAAATGAATGTATTAAATGGTGTAGACCATGTCACATAAATTATTTTGAAAATGAGTGGACCAGTAAAAATAAAATAATTGATGATATCATTCTAGAAATGCAATTACAAATTGATAGTTATAATGATAAAATAGTTGAATGGATACCATACAATCAATTTATTAATATTGAAGAAATAGGAAAAATTGATGATAATACTGCTAATATATATTCAGCATTGTTGAGTAATGGTTCATTATGTTATAATGAATATAAAAAGAAATGGGTGAAAGATTCCAATTTAAAAGTTACATTAAAATGTTTTAATTATTCACAAAATATTATTGATGAATTACTTAATAAGGTATGGAAATTATTTATAAATTTAACTTAAATGCTTTAAGATATAAAAACTTTATTCATATTTAATAGGCTGAAAGTCACAATACATACTATGGGATATCTCAAAACCCAAATACAAAAGAATATATCATTGTTTTGGAATTTAAAGATGTATTGCATGAGAAATGTCACATAAATTATATAAATTATTTAAAAAATAATTTTACAAAATGTACAAGTGGAAATGAAAAAATTGATGTTTTTATTAAAAAAATGCAATTATTAGATAATAGAAATAATGAAAATATTAAAGATATATTTGAGTGGATTCCATACAATCAGTTTGTTAATATTAAAGAAATAGAAAAAAATGATTTACTTATAATACGTTCAGCTATATGGAATGGTAGTCCATCATATTATAGTTCTATTAAAGAAGAAATGATAAGAAAGCCTAAAAATGTTACATTAATTACAAAATATGATTGATGATTTTCTTAATAAGGTATAAAAATTATTTTAAGTTTGATTAAAATTCTTTTTTTTTTTAATATAATAATTTATTTACATTAAAAACAGGTTAAAAGTATACTGATAGTTAACAACTGTAATGTATATGATTCCTTTCATAAGAAGTATTATTCTTTAATGTGTGGAATATCTCAAAATCCAGATACAGGAAATTATATTATAGTTTCACAGGATGAATATTGTGAAAAATGCAGTAAGCAATATACAAACATACATGATAAGTGGTGTTTATGTCAAAATAATTTAACAAATTGGAGTGGAAATAAAAAAATTGATGATTTAATCCAAGAAATGCAATTAAAAATTAATAAATCTAATAGAATAGTAGTTGAATGGATACCATACAATCAGTTTATTAATATTAAAGAAACTGCAAAAGATAATAACAATGCTGCTATTATATATTCAGCAATATGGAAGAATGGTTCATTATTATACATTAATAAGGAATGGATAAGGGAATCTTATACAAGTATTGTATTAAAATGTTTAGATACTAATGAATTTTTCAGCAAGGTATGACAATTATTTATAAGTTTAATTTAAATACTTCAAATAAAATTGACATTTATACTTATTTATATATAGGCTAATAATTATAATGACATATATGGAATATCTCAAAACCCAGATACCAAAGAATATATCATAGTTTTATCAAATAATAAATATTGTGAAAAATGTGGTGAATTGTATACATATGGATATTATAGATTGTGTAAACCATGTCAAATAAATTATTTTAAAAATGAGTTTAAAAACTGGACCAGTGGAAATGAAATAATTGATAATTTTATTCTAGAAATGCAATTAAAAATTATTGATGATAATGATGATAATATAGTTGAATGGATACCATACAATCAATTTATTAACATTAAAGAAATAGGAAAAGTTGATGATAATACTGCTGTATATTCAGCAATATGGAAAAATGGTCCATTATATTATAAAAAGAAATGGATAAGAAAATCTAATGAAAAAGTTATATTAAATTACTTAACATTAGATATTAAGGAATTTTTTAATAAGGTATGAAAATTTTTTACATGTCAATTTAAAAATTTTACTTCAGATAATCATTTAATTATATTCATAGATTGATAATTACAAAGATATATATGGAATATCTCAAAATCCAGATACAAAAAATTATTTTATAGTTTCAAATATTAAGAAATGTATACCATGGTTAATTTTACAAAATAATTTTACAAATTTAAGTGGAAATAAAATAATTGATGATTTTATTCAAAAAATGCAATTAAAAATTAATTATTGGACTCATATAATAGTTGAATGGATACCACACAATCAATTTACTAATATTAAAGAAATTGAGAAAGTTGATAATAATTCTGCTATTACATATTCAGCAATATGGAAAAATGGTCCACTATATTATAGATATGATAAAAAGGAATGGATAAGAAATCCTGATAAAAAAGTTATATTAAATTGCTTATCATTAGATATTGAGGAATTTTTCAATATGGTATAAAAATTATTTATAAATTTGATAACTTAAATATTCAAAGAAATAACTATTTTATTTTTATTTAATAGGTTGATAATTATAGTAACATATATGGAATATCTCAAAATCCCAATACATATGATTATATTCTAGTTCTTCAAAATAGGAATTGTAAAAGATGTGGTAAACTATACAATGATTTAGAAAATAAATGGTGTAAGCTATGTGAAATAAATCATATACAAAATAATTTTGCAAATTGGAGTGGAAATCAAAAAATTGATAATTTCATTCAAGAAAAGCAAATAAAGATAAATGGTTTCAATGATATAGTAGTTGAATGGATACCATTTAATCAGTTTATTAATATTAATGAAATTGGAAAAGTTGATGATAATGTTGCTATTATCTATTCAGCAATATGGAAGAATGGTCCATTATATTATAAGACAAAGTCATGGATAAGGAATTCTTACAAAATAGTTGTATTAAAATGTTTAACATTAGATATCAATGAATTTTTTATTGAGGTATGAAAATTATTTTAGTCAATTAAGTATTTTGCTTCAAACAATAATTTGATTCATGTTTAACAGGTTAACAATTATATTGATATATGTGGAATATCTCAAAACCCAAATACAAATGATTATATTTTAGTTTTTCAAAATGATCAGTATTGTAAAAGATGTTGCAAGCCATATAGTAATTTAGGAAATAAATGTTGTAAATCGTGTCAAATAAATTATATACAAAATAATTTGACAAATTGGAGTGGAAATCAAAAGATTGATGATTTTATTCGAGAAATGCATTTGAAAATTGATAGTTATGATAATATAATATTTGAATGGATACCATATAATCAGTTTGATTATATTGAAGAAGTAGGTAAAGGTGGTTTTGCTACAATATATTCAGCAATATGGAAGGATGGTCCATTAAAATGTAATTATGATAAAAAGATATTCAAAAGAGATAATTATAAAGAAGTTGCATTAAAATATATAGATAACTCACATAATATTACTGATGAATTTTTAAATGAGGTATGAATTTTCTTAATAAAATTGAAATAATTATTAATATATTAATTTTGTTTATACTTTAAATAGATTAAAGCATATTCATTTACAGGTGATAATAAGTATAATCATGTTCTTAAAGTATATGGAATATCTCAAGATCCCAATACAAAAAATTATATTATAGTTCTTCAATATGCAAAATGTGGAAGTTTTAATAATTGGATGCACTATTTCTATAAAAATTCTGATTGTTGGGTTAAATATTATTTATTGAAATATACCATTGAAGGTCTTAAAGAAATTCATCAGAAGCAGATGGTTCATCGTGATTTTCATATAGGGAATATATTAGTTAACAATAATAATACTTATGGAAAAATTCCTATAGGCATACATATTTCAGATATGGGATTATGTGGAGAAGTTAGTAATAAAGATGAAACAAAAATTTATGGGGTTATGCCTTATGTAGCTCCTGAAGTATTAAGAGGCAAGCCTTATACTCAAGCAGCAGATATATATAGTTTTGGTATGGTTATGTATTATATAATAACTGGAAGACAACCTTTTGATGATTGTGCACATGATGAAAAATTAGCATTACAAATATGTAGTGGAATTAAACCTGAAATACCTGAAATACCTGAATTGAAATCAAATTGGTATATTGATCTAATGAAAAAGTGTTGGGATTCAAATCCAGATAATAGACCAAATATTGAATCAATTAGCACTATTTTTGATAAGTTTGGTTCGCCAAGTGAAATTGAAAAAGCAGAAAAATATCTATTTAGAGAATATAAGGAAAACAGTCAATTAACTATTACTCATCCACAAGCTATTTATACATCTCGGTTACTTAATCCTTATACAGAAGGACTTGCAATTGATTTTACAGAGTAAGTCATATTCACTTAAATCTTCTTATTTTCAACTTCCTTTAAATAAAAAACATTAAAATTTTAAAATATCAATAGGTTAGATGATGAAAAATGATCGGAATTAATTTTACTACAAAAATTATCAACTTATTTTACTTATTTTCTGCTTATTATAACTTATATATTTTATTTATCTTTATAAATATTTTTATAAAATGTTAAATATGAAATTTAATTATATTTGTTCAACACTGATATAGAGTATGTGTAAAACTTTTTTTACATAAATAAAATCAGTTTGTAATTGAGAAATAAAATTAACACAGATTTTGAAATAAGTCTTTTTGTTGTTATGCATCATCAATTATTCCATTTTCTATGGCTTATTATCCTAATAATTGACGATTATAAATAAAATTTTTCATATTACTTTCTAATCTTGAGGAAAGAAGCAAATTAAAATCTTTATATTTATATATTTTATATCATCATGGCAGATTTATGAAATATCCCAAAATTTGTCTGTTACTTCAATTGACTTTGAAAAGTTCAATTGATCAAGTACGTGAAACTAATTAAGAATTACAGTATACTTTTATGGCTAATTTGTTAAACTCATATATAAATAAATATTCTTTTTATTAATTAACAATTTACAAAATGCATAAATTGAAGGAAGTAGGTAAAGAAATTTCGAATTACACCATGAATCGCACTATTATAAGGGATACTAAATCTTTTATTGTTTCAAAAAGAGCATAAATTATTGCCAGTTTTATCATTGGCTATTATTTTATTGGTATGAATATAAACAGTCTGAAGATCGAATCATTAAGTTATGTAGTATTATTGTATTAATATGTCAAATTTGACGCACCATCCTGACCAAGTCTTTTAAAAAACTCATTTCTACCTGATCACCAAAGTGAGGTGATCTTTTTAGTTGTAAAGTGGGTCATAATAAATTCATTAAACTCATTTATTGCAATTGATCCTATTAATTGTAAGTAAATTATATCATAAACTATAAAACTTACTTTAAAAGTTGCTAATAAAGCTTCTACCGTAATTATTATATGATGTCACGTGATCGTCGATCATTTTAAAATTGTAAAACAAGGGACGATCAATGTCACGAATGTCATAGATGTATGACATATCATGGAAATCATATATAGTTGATAGATTTAATATGTTTATTTTATCTGTTATATTTATTATATTTATTTTATTATATAAATTTATTATATTTATTTTATTAGATAAATTTATTATATTTATTTTATTTGTTATGTTTATTTTATATGATATATCAAAATATGTATGAAATTTAATATAAATAAAGCTCTGTCCCGTTGCAGACAAGAGTGAGAATTATCTCCTCAGTTTTGATATAAGAAAACATTTGAGTTTTTAATCCTTTATTTGTGTCTGATTGTATGAGCTAGTGTAGAGCCATACTTTATTCACATCTGATTGGATTTGTTGTGTAATTTTCGTATTATAATATCCTTCTGCTTACCCTTTGCATACTGTTTATTTTTATAAACATTAAAGAACTGACCTAACAATAATATACTTCAATTATACTACTGTAAGTGTAACAAAATTTATCCTTTTTAAGCCTAATTACTTAATAATTCATAATTTCGTTTTCAATTTCTAAATAGTAATATCAATGTTGTTAATCGAAAATATTTAAATAATTTATTTACAATGAAATCTTAAAAGATCATAATCATTAAGAGACTCAATTTGTCGTTAAGTTTGAACACTCTAAACACAATTATATTTATGATCTGTTAATATAGAATAAAAAAAGGAATATTAACAAGAAAATATGGGATTAGTACGCAACTTGAATGATGACAAAAATCCAACATTTTGTTTCCTTTTGCATTCTAATAATATTTTATATTCATCAATGCAAGAAATGCTCGATGTACAATATAATAATTATATAGTATATAGATGTACTATTCACAATCATTATAAAGAAAAATTAAAAAATTAGCGGGCTTGATTTAAGTAGAATT